CTGCGTCCGTACCCTTGGCCCTGGCTACGCGAGGTGGGTGCTTCCTGGTCTTGCCCCAGAGGTGGCAGTGGGGACACCTCCCCCATTGTAGAGAGGAATCTGCACCTCAGCTCAGGAGTCAGATGAGGTCATGGAGCTTGTGGGGCGAGAACTGAGTTCAGGTTCCTGTTTCTAGAACCCCTCCCCGTAACTTGTGTGGCCATCCCTGGGAGCCTGGCTTCTTCCTGGGACTTGAGGCCGCTGCCTAGGGCCTGGCCATCTTGCCCTCAGAAGGGACAGAACTGTGCCGGGCATGGTGGCTCACACCTGTAATCCCAGCACTTTGGAAGGCCGAGGCGGGTGGATCACGAGGTCAGGAGTTCAAGACAATATTGGCCAAGATGGTGAAACCCTGTCTCTACTAAGAAGACATAAAAAAATTAGCTGGGTGTGGTGGCGGGCACCTTTAATCCCAGCTACTCGGGAGGCTGAGGCAGGAGAATGGTGTGAACCCGGGAGGCAGAGCTTACAGTGAGCCATGATGGCGCCACTGCACTCCAGCCTGGGCGACAGAGTGAAACTCTGTCTTAAAAAAAAAAAAAAAGGCGGGGGGGACAGAACTGTGGGGGTCACTTGTGGCTGGGTTAGAATCAGAAGGGCAGGGTGGGGGCCGGAGGGCCAACAGGAGCAGAAAGATGCAGTCAGGGAGAGAAGCTGAGCCTGGGAAACAAGCCCTGGACCAGCAGGAGGGAGGAGCTCGGGCCAGCCTGAAGGGGTGGGAGTCCAGATGGACAATGCCCGGCATGGCCAGGTGGCCCGGGCAGGGCCCTGCCAGAGCAGCATGACCTGCTGGCTGTGACTTCCTGCCTGGGTACAGGCCAGCTGCCCTGCCTGGGAAGAGCCAGAATGTCCATCAGGAGGGGACGGAGGCATGGGGCTGCCCTGCCTTTCAGAATGGCTTGCTGGCCTCGGCACAGTGGGCTGCGGGGCAGGGCTGTCCCATGTACTCTGTGGCCCCTGGGCCAGGAGCACTCACAGGTGGGGGTGCAAGGTGCCCCATGCGAGTCCTGTACCTGGCCTTGCCTGACCACCCTAGGCAGCCTTTTTTTATTTTTTGTTTTTTGAGACAGTCTTGCTCTGTCACCCAGGCTGGAGGGCAGTGGCAGTATCTCAGCTCAGGGCAACCTCCATCTCCTAGGGTTCAAGCGATTCTACTGCCTCAGCCTCCCGAGTAGCTGGGATTACAGGTGTGTGCCACCACGCCCGACTAATTATTGTATTTTTAGTACAGACAAGGTTTCACCATGTTGGCCAGGCTGGTCTCGAACTTCTGACCTCAGGTGATCCACCCGCCTCACCCTCCCAAAGTGCTGGGATTACAGGTGTGAGCCACGGTGCTGGCCCCAGCCTTTGGTTGGGACCACTGGCTGTGTGTGACCCCAGAGCATGGGGGTGGAGTGCAGGGATTGCAGGGCCTGGAATCCAGCGGGACCTGACTGTGGGCCAACGGCTTACTGTGCGCCTCAGTGACTGGCGGTGCTGCTGCTTCTCCTGGGGTGCAGATGAAGGGCAGCTCTTCAGTGGAGTTGTCTGGGTGGTGGGAGTCTGTGAGGCACCTGCCCTGGGGCTGGCTGTCCCCACACAGGGTATGATGCCCTTGCACGCCTCTGAGGGGTGCCGCCCTGCTCTGGGCAGTGGGGGGCTGCTGGCCTATGTGCCGGGGTGGGGAGCTGCCTGGCAGGCACAGGCCCATTTAAGTTGTCCATTGGCAGAAGCAGCAGGTGCACCGTCTCGCAGGCTGAGCTTGGGGCAGACTGCTGTGTGCTGTTGCAGCCGCGCCCAGGCTGCTTTCCTGGAGGGTGGGGCATCCCTTCTCATCCTCACACCTGCCGCCCGTGGGACTTGGCGCTGCAGCCTTTCCTCTTCGTGGAGCGCCACCTGGCCTGGCTCCTACCTGTCTGGCTGCCCCTTCCTCTCCCCTCTGCCCTCCTCTCCTCCTCCCCTCCTCCCCTTCTGGCTCTCTGCCCAGCCGGAGCATGTCAGTGTCCCCAGGGCTCAGTCCTGGACACCCAGGGCCGTCTGCCCTCACCTGCTGTGGGACTTCCGCCTCCACTCCCAAGGCCTCGCTGTCTGATCCTTAGACCCAAGTGCCACCCTGACATCTGCCCTTCCTGCTGACACCACCTCCCGGCCAGCACCAAGCCCCAGACTGGGCTCCTCCCTGCCTCTCCCACTGTGCAGCGCAGATCCTGGGTGGCCAGGGGCTGTTGCATCTCTCACTGTTGTTGGCTGAGCCCCTTCTTGTCAACTTTCCTTTCCTTCCCGCCTCTCCACCAGTTCTTCCCATAGGTGCCACCTAGGTGGTCTTTCTGAAGCCAGGGACCCCAGCAGCTGCCTGGACCCTCCTCCCTCAGCTTTCTCATGGGTGGAGGCTGTGCCTGGCGCTGGGGCCACACTTGACTCAGGGAGCACCCAGCGTCCCGGGAGCCTGCTGTGGGCATTGCACTCGGGCAACCTGGTCTAGGGTCTGGCCACCCGTGGGAGCGTTGGCTGGGGCTGCGTGGGGGATGGGAGGCAGGTAGCCGTGTGCAGGGAGGAGGGAGGAGCAGGGCTGGGCTCAGCTCACACCTCCATCTGGGCAGGTTGGGGCTGGCTGCTTGGCCCTTTGTCCCGGGTGGAGGCGAGGCCCTTTGGTAACCAAAGCTAGGTGTGCACAGGCAGGGTGAGTGGAGCAAGAACAAAAGGGTCCTGAGAAGCCAGGAGGCTCCGCTGGGAGGCTGGGCTGAGCCGGGACCCACCTGCGGGCTCTCTGTTGGCTGCGCCAGGCGAAGTCCCTGATAGGCTGCATTGCCAGCCCCTGGCCACACCCTCTGCCCATCCTGCGTCCTGGGGTCTTCAGGCTGCCCACAGCGTGAGTCACGGGGTGTCCTGTGACCCACTGACCTGTCTCCACAGTGGGAGGGGAGGGCTGTGCACCAGCCCAGCTGAGGAGACCTGGGGAGGCAGGACGTGACCAGAGCCCTGGGCCCCAGCTGAGGGCAGACAGGGGCTGCCTGTCCACCCCCCGCTCCCCACTGCCTGGCCAGGCTGTACCAGGCTCAGGGCCCATGTGCACCCAGCCCCCGCAGCCCCCCTGCTGGGACTGGTCATGTGCACGAGCGAGGGCACTAATCCTGCAGCCCTGGCAGCCGGCCCTTCTGTGTTCTCAGCCATGGGGGCTGGGCCTGGAGGGCTTCGAGGTCATCTGGGTTAGCTCCACGTATCCAGGGCGACTGGAAGCCCCATTTGTTGCTGGACTTTGGGGCTGTGGGAGACCTCTGGCCCACCAGCCCCGTCCTGCCTTGAGCACCTCCACCTGGGGTATCTGTCCCAAAGCATGAGTCTGGGAGGACTGGGTGACCCCATCCCCAAGTGGGCTGGCAGTGGGTGGGTGTTTGTAGGGTCTGTCCCAGCCTCTCCCTGCCTGGCCTCCTGTGGGATGAGCGTTGGAGGGCCAGGTGGGCCTAGTCACAGGCGGGGCAGTTAAGGGACAGGAGCTGGTGCCTTTCTCCTTGTTTTGTCTGATCCAGGTGGCCTCCCCCTCCCCCGCTCATCCGTGCAGACAGCTGGGGTGCTGAGGCCTAGGGTAGGGATGCAAGCAGGCAGCTGAGTTGCCCAGCAGGGCTCTGTGTGAGCTGTGCTGAGAAGGGAAGCTGGAGGTTTGGGCACAAAGGGTGGCCCCCCGGCTGTGGGAGGTGGGGATGTTCATGGTGAGAAGGGACCCAAGGGTACGCTTGGCTGTGGGCCGTGTGGCCACCGCGGGAGAGGGCATGATGGCGGGAGCGTGTGCCCTCGGCCCTGTCCTGGCAGCCCTGTGTGGCCTCAGCTGCTTCCTGAGAGGCTGTCTCATCCTACTGTGCCTGGCTGCGGTGGTTCTCTGCCTGGGGCCCAGCTCCTGCCTCTGGGTCCTTCTAGGGGAGGAGGAGGAACTTGAGCTGCTGGTGTCCTGTGCCCAGGAAGAGTTTAATATTTCGAGCTCCGGCAGGGCCGCTCCCATCTGCTGCAGGTGGGGGCCACTCATTTTCATGGGGGACCACTGGGGCCGGGCTGAGTGCAGCTGAGCGGTGGGAGCTCGGCTGTTGTGGGGAGCTTAGCCCCATGCAAGCCCCGGTCAGGGGAGGTGGAGAGTCCTGACCACTGCTCCCATTGCCCCTGGGAACCAGCAGCCCTGCCTGGGCTTCAAGGCCACTGGGAAAAGGAAAGCATTTGCTCAGATGTGAAATCCTGCAGCCTACGAAGTGGGGACGGAGGACGAGGGCCAGAGGGACAGCAGGGTGAGGAAGGGGTCATTGCTGGGGTCGCTGGCACCCAGGCTCAGTGGAGGCGGTTCCTCACTCTGCACAGTCCCTCAGGCCAACTCTCAACCATGTTAGGTGGGTGATGGTGCCTGGGGCTACCGCCCGGCCTTGACGCCTCACAGAGGCCCTTGTCAGCAGTGGGGGGGTCCGTGCTCTGCCGGATTGTCCAGGCATCCAGTAAACCAGGACATGAACTTGGCTTTAGAGAGAGGCCCCAGACACCAGCAGGAGCTGCCTGGAGCCTAGAGGGCAAGACCCCTGAGGGGACAGCCTCTCTTCCGCCCTGTTCCTGCTCTAGTAGGAGGGGATGTGTCCACCCCAGTGTCCCCCCAGCTGGTGCTCTGCCCAGACAGCAGAGCAGGAGGGTCCTGAGATGGTAGCCCCGGGAGCTGGTTTAGACGCTTCTGGGGACCCAGAGGCTTTGGGCTTCTGGTCCTGATCAGAGTTTGCTCCCTGGTTGGGATTGGGAGGGGAAGTTGGCCCCCAGAGTGGAGGGGATGGACGCCTGCAGGGTCCAGCTGGAGAGGTCTTCGCCCACCTCCTGGAGCCCCCGAAGGGTTGATGGTGCATCCGGCGCGTCAGGCGCCCCACTTGGGTCAGCCTCATCCTGAGGGCTGGACCTGAGCCCCTGGCATTGTGCCCATGTGGGCCCTCAGCCCTCGTTCATGTGACTCTCACTCCCAGATGAAGATCTCCTTCAATGACAAAAGCCTGCAGACCACATTTGAGTACCCCTCCGAGAGCTCCCTAGCACAGGAGGAAGAGGTGGAGCATGAGGAGGAGGAGGAGGAGGAGGAGGAAGAGGAAGAGGAGGAAGAGGGTTCCGGCTCAGAGGAGAAGCCCTTTGCACTCTTCCTGCCCCGGGCCACGTTTGTGAGCAGCGTGAGACCCGAGAGCTCTCGGCTGCCAGAGGGCAGCTCAGGTGGGTGCCCACCTAGGGGGACAGGCAGCCTGGGCGGGGTGGAGCCTGGTCTGTGTCCACATGTCCACGTGTGCATCTCCGTTCACAGGCCTGTCCAGCTACACCCCGAAGCACTCTGTGGCCTTCAGCAAGTGGCAGGAGCAGGCACTAGAGCAGGCCCCGAGGGAGGCAGAGCCCCCGCCCACAGAGGCCATGGTGAGCTGCAGGGGAGGGGAGCGCTGCGGGGAGTCTGATGCCTGGGCGAGCCCATGTGTCCACATTCTGTTCTCTCACTTTCAGCTCACACCTGCCAGTCAGAATGACCTCTCGGACTTCCGCAGCGAGCCAGCCCTTTATTTCTGAGCCCAGCACTGCCAGGACCAAGGCTGAGCCCCAGCTGTGGGAGTCCCGGAAGCTGGGCAGTAGCCAGGGACTACTGCACCCACTTCTGCCTTGTCTGGTCTCACTGTATTCCACCCACCCCTCCTGGCCTTGGAAGCAGCCAGGGTGCCTCCTGCCATTGGGACCAGGTCTGGGTCTCACTCCCCGGCCCTGGTTTGGGAGGGCCCAGGTGGGGAGTAGGGTGGGGAACTGCCTGTGGGTGAGGTCAGGGGTCTGCTGGGTGGTGGCCATCTGCAACCCGGCAGGGGACTGTGCAGATTCTACACCTGGCAGTTCCCTGTCCTGTCTCCTCAGCCTGCCTCCCAGCGGCCATGGGGGGTCTGGGGTGAAGGGCTGTCCCAGCTACTTGTCCTCTACAGGACCCTAAGCCCCTGCCCGCAGCCCCCATGCCCTCTGTGATGAGTGGCATCTTTCCTGCCTCTGACGATGGACTCAATAAACAGCACTGGACAAGGCTGCTGGCATCCCCACTGCGTGGTCCTTGGCTGAGAGGGGAGCAGGGGCAGGTCTCTGCAGTAAGAGGCCACATGGGGTACAGTGGGCCCCAGCTTGCACGTCTGTGCCAGGGTGTGTGGGAGGGGACCCCAGTCTGGTACCCCCACTCCTTGATGTCCCAGTGGTCAAGGCTCTGACCCCCCAACTTCTACGGCCTGTTAACCTGTTGCCCCTCCACCCCAGCCTCCCAGAGCTGGCGCTGTGGGAGGTAGGATGCCAGGCCTGCTGTCAGGGGCCTAGACTTCAGGTGGGAGGGTGAGTGTTGCAGCTGTTGGGCCTGAAGTGACTTCTCTGAGGGGCCCAGAGCCTGTGGAGGGACCAAGGGAAGGGCAGCATGAGGGCAGCACAGGGTACAGTGTCTCCTGCTGGGCTTGGCGTGCCCCCTGACCCCCACAGGATGAGGCAAGTGGGGATCAGCACCTGCCCGGGCAGCCAGATCTGGGGCTGTTTACAACCCTCTGAACCCAAGCCCCGTTTCCTCCCTGGAGAACCAAACCCTAGAGCAAAGCGCTGCTGTCTGGCCAGACTCCGGCGGAAGGAGAGTTTGGTGTATTTCCCTGGTTGGGGGGTGGGCCCAGCTCTTTTCTGGACCCTCTGGATCAACACACGCTTCCCAAATAGGCCCAGTCCTCAGGCAGTGCTTGGTTGCTGCAGGGACAGAACAGAGGCCCCAGGGCACGCAGAAGGATGGAGGTGGCCAGTGCTTGGCGTGCGGCCAGGGAAAGGGGCAGCAGGGCCTGGTGGCAGCAGTGGTGTCATCAGGCCAAGCAGGACTTGCAAGGAGGAACTGGTGGGGGTGGGGGGTGTGAAGCCCCCCAGTCCTTACTGAGAGAGACCTGAGTCTGAGGCAGCTGCTGGATATGCTTGGCATCCCTAGCTGTCTCTCTGGGCTGGGTCCTATGCTGGACACCAGGGTGTGGCAGAGAACAGGACGAGCGAGCAGAACTGAGAGGAGGGTGAGCCGTGGGCCAGTCAGGGGAAGAGGACCAGCGGCCCTGCTGGGGAGGGCCGAGGGTGGCGCTGGCCTGGGCAGGGTGGGCACCCTCAGCGGTGTCCCTGAGGCTAGTTGGGCAGTCATAGGGAGACCACTCCAGACGCCTCCTCCCTCATTTCCCAAGGGGGAGCCTCAGGCTCTGGCTCTGCGGGTGTCTGGCAGCCCCACACTGTTGACACGGGCAAGCAGCAGGCTGGCACGGACCTTTACAAAGATAATCTTTATTGATAATCACAGGTCACAGGGGTGAGCCCTGAGGTTTGGGTTCTGGGGTGAAGGAGAACCCCTGTCCCCTGCCCTGGGCCTCTGCTGGCTGAGGAGGGACAAGCTGAGGGGGCCCCCATGGTGCTCAGACAACCAGGGCCTCCCCGGCAGGGCAGGAGTGTGGGTGCCACAGAGACAGGCCCTTTGCAGAGCTGACCTGGAACTCACCATCCCCACAGCCCGTGTGAGCACGAAGCCCCTGGGTGGGCTGTGCCCTGGCTTGTCAATGATGCCAGTAGAGGCTGGCAGCCGCCCCTCTCGGCACCGGAGACAGTGAGGGAAGGCAGCTGCTGCCGTGAAGAACAAAGACGCTCTGAGAACAGACTTGTCAGGGCTGAGCTGAGGGGCGCACGGAGGCAGGCCCTGCCCGTGGTCTGGTCAGCTGTCCCTGCCACCGCTACTTTTCTGGTCTGAGGCTGTAGCCTTGGTCAGGTTCCCAGCTTCCCTCTTGAGGACGCTGAGCAAAGTCTGGGAGCTCTCCAGAATCTGGGTCCAGAGAAGTGAGAAAGTTGTTACTGTTCACCTGCTGGGAAGTTCCTAAGCCCCAGCTGTCCTCACACTCAGGTTCTGGGACCTGGCTGTGGGTGCTGTAGCCAAGGGATCCTGTGCGGGGGAAGGCGGAAGCCCAAGGGGACTGGCAGACGGGGTGACAGGGCCCTGTTCCCTCCTGAATCTGACCCAGAACACTTCCTCCCCACCCTCAAAGCCAGGCTGGGTTAGCACTGGCCCAAGACGTGGCTCTTCACACTCTAAGCAGAAAGAACCACATGGCTAGCGAGAACCGGATGAAGACCAGGACCCAGGATGCCCCAGGCCCCCCAGACAGCCCCACGGTCACTCTCGCAGCAGCCTGGGTTCCTCAATGGGCCTGGCCACGCTGCCCCTGCCCGACATGCCAGCGAGGCACAGACTGCCCACAGCTGGGAGCCCCAGACGGTCCTGACGCCCTGCCGCGGCTACACCCCTGCCGCGGCTATCCCCTGACGCTCCGCCTGGCCTCCCGAGCTCCACCTTGAGGTAGGCGGCCTCCGTCTCCGCGATGGTCCGGTCGAACTCGTTGCGAGAGGCAATCTTGCGTGCCAGGTTCTCGTTGACGCGGGCCAGCTTCTCCGTCAGCTGCCTCACCTCATTCTGCAGCCGCTGCTTCTCGTCCTCCTCCTCCTGGATCTGCCGGCACAGCTCCTCCCGCTTCTGGCACAGCTCCTCTATGCCTGGGGGGCCGGGAGGGGCGGCGCTGTGGGCCCAGGGCAGGAGCGCGGCGGCGGAGGGCGGGCCTCCTTCCACCCGAGGAAGCCAGAGTCAGGCACCACCCCCGAGCACCCGGCGCGGGGCCTGCGAGCCAACGAGGGCTCGGGGCCACGGACACCCAGCCCCCGTCACGGAGGGCTCTGCTCAGCCGCGCGATGCCCGCAACGAGGCGGGTCCAGGGGCACCCCGCTGCGAGCCGGGAACCCGGCCCTGCGGCCCTCCCGACCTCCCCGTCCCGGCTGCGCCGCTCACACTTGACCAGCTCGTTGTTGTAGTTCTGCAGCGCCGCGCCCTGCTGGGTCATGGTCTACGCCGCCCGGGGCCCCGCCACCCCAACCGCCGCGGAACCCGCGCTGTCCGCGCCTGCGCACGACTCCCTGACGGCGCGCCGAACTATCGCGTCATCGCTGAGCGCCTTGTGCGCGTCATGGCTGCGCGTACAGACTTGCGTCATCGCTTTGCGCCGTGCCGAGGGGATCTCGGAGCCGGTGGCTGCAGATGGCGGCGGCAGTTGTGGTGGCGGAGGGGGACAGCGACTCCCGGCCCGGACAGGAGTTGTTAGTGGCCTGGAATACCGTGAGCACCGGCCTGGTGCCGCCAGCTGCGCTGGGGCTGGTGAGACCTGGGAAGAGAGCGGCGGCCCCGCGCGCAGTTTCCGGGACCCTATGCACTTTGGGGCGGCCACCTTCGGGTTCATACAGCTCTGTCCGTCATCCGCCTCTGCCCTGTCCTGCCGCTTTCCACCGCCATTCCATTTCATTTCGTTCAGCTCCGCTGGCAGCCCTTCCCTAGCTTCGGCCCAACGTCCGGACACCACGGACAGGGGGCAGCGGAGTTTTTGCAGCCTACCCCTCAGCTTCTTCCCTTCCCCGCCTCTCCCCACCTCTATGTTGTGTTCCCCTCGCTTCACGGTTTTCTGCGCTCCAGGTGTCTTCCCGGACCAGCGGTGCAGTCCCGCCAAAGGAAGAGGAGCTCCGGGCGGCGGTGGAGGTTCTGAGGGGCCACGGCCTGCACTCAGTCCTGGAGGAGTGGTTCGTAGAGGTGCTGCAGAACGATCTGCAGGCCAACATCTCCCCTGAGTTCTGGAATGCCATCTCCCAATGCGAGAACTCTACGGATGAGCCCCAGTGCCTTCTGCTGCTCCTTGACGCTTTTGGCCTGCTGGAGAGCCGCCTGGATCCCTACCTGCGCAGCCTAGACCTGCTGGAGAAATGGACTCGCCTGGGCTTGCTGATGGGCACTGGTGCTCAGGGGCTGCGAGAAAAAGTCCACACTATGTTGCGCGGAGTCTTGTTCTTTAGTACCCCCAGAACCTTCCAAGAGATGATCCAGCGTCTGTATGGGTGCTTCCTGAGAGTCTATATGCAGAGTAAGAGGAAGGGGGAAGGGGGCACAGACCCGGAACTGGAAGGGGAGCTGGACAGCCGGTATGCCCGTCGCCGGTACTACCGGCTCCTGCAGAGCCCGCTGTGCGCAGGGTGCAGCAGTGACAAGCAACAGTGCTGGTGTCGCCAGGCTCTGGAGCAGTTCCATCAGCTCAGCCAGGTCTTGTGAGTAGTCTGTCCTGATGGCCGTGCTCTCGCTCCTACTGGTTGCTCCCCTGGGTCCAGCTGGCCTCTGCAGAAAGCTGGTGAGCCGTCCTGATAACCAGGAACATGACAGAGAGAGAGTCCCCGGGGTTCCTGTGCAGTGTGTCCTGGACACAGGTGTCTCTCTTCTGTCACTCACCTGCAGTCCCACGGATTCATGCCTTGCCCGTGGTAAGGCCCTATGTGGCTTGTGTCTGCAGCAGCAAATTTCTTAGCAACTCCAAACTTCCTGGACTCTGCAGAATTCCACTGTGCCTTTTGTCGACCCTGGGGCAAGGAATGATTCTCACCCTCGTTGACATTCCTTGCCCTGTAATTGTGAACAGAAGCCTGCTGCTGCTTCTCTCCAGGGAGATCAGGTCACTGTGAGGGCAAGCGGTCTCCTGTGTGGTTCTCTGGAGAGGAGAGGGTTTTGTTGTGAGAGACAGGTCGTGTTGTAGTCCTCTAGCAATTGTCACACCCTCGGCCATTTGTGGTGGCTTTGTCACATTGAACAGAGGTATAGCCACGCAGCTATTTGAGAGGTCTTAGGTGGACTAAAGGAGTGGTCCTGTTGCTGGCAGAGGTCAGGGTGACCATGAAGGGCTTCTGTTGGGCTCATCCCAGCAAAAGTTACACAGCAACCTTTCTCATTCTCCTCTGGAGTCTTTTGGCCACTGTAGACCACAGACTGCACTGAAAGGCACAAACAGTGGCATCTGTGTCTCTGGGGCCAGGGCAGCGGTGCAACTGGGTGTTGTTTCAGAGTTGATCCTAGGCGATAAGGGTAGGGCCCCTGACAGCCACACCTGCTGCCACTGATCACATGGGGAAGTCCAGTGTCCCTACCTGGACAGAGGCCAGCTGGGTGGGGACAGCAGAGCCTGGGAGTGCTCTGTGCTCTGAGTGGCTTCTTGAAGCCTTTGGTACCAGCGCCTCAGGCCAACCAGGCAAGGAGAGTGGCTCTGTGCTGTCCTGGCCTTTCCCCTGACAAGGAACAGACACTCCCCAGGGCTGTTCAATGGAGAATGTATTGGAATGAGGACCTTGACATGGCTGCCTGGAAATTCCTCAGGGGTCGCAGAGGCCCTGGTTCGGGGCTGGCAGGCACAGTGGCCCCCACAGCTGAGGATTGTGGGGAGGTGCGTGCTGGTTGTGGGGGTGTGTGTGTGTGTGCTGCATGCACTCTACCGGCAGGACCGTCCTGGCATGGGGCTGTTCTGGGCTAGAGGGGCCGGTGTATGCTGTGGGTGCCCCATGGCTAGGACTCTCCTCTAGACACAGGCTCAGTCTGCTGGAGCGGGTCAGTGCCGAGGCTGTGACCACCACCCTGCACCAGGTGACCCGGGAGAGGATGGAGGACCGTTGCCGAGGCGAGTACGAGCGCTCCTTCCTGCGTGAGTTCCACAAGGTGAGGGCCCCTCCTTTGGGCTGTGCCCCGCTGGGGACAGGGGAGTAGGGTTCTGGCAAACCTGACACCTGGCTTCGGAAGCATCCAGAGCGTGGAGGCCTGGGTTGGCCTGGACCGGGTGGTGGCTGGAGCTGTTTTGATGTCGGGTAGAGACCAGTACTTCTGGGCCCTGGTGACAGCAAGGACACATCTGAGGTGCGCTCACCAGATCTGCTCAGAATCCCATGGCTGCAGGCAATACTGGGCCAGGGTCCCCAGGGGCTGCCCCAGGCAGGTGTCACCAAGCCGGGCCCACCAGAAGGGCCAGTGAATGGACCCCCTTCTCCTGTTTGCTGCCCTACTTGAGTGTGGACTTGCTTGGCCAGTCCCTCATGGACTGACCTACAGCCGGCCTGCACCACAGCGGGGGCGAGACACCCTCACATGGGGCCTCCAGGCCTCTGCACTGTTAGGGTGTGGTCTGGGCTCCCAGGGCCATAGGGGAGCTGGGCCCACCCCTGTGGGTCCCCCTACCCTGTTCCCACATGTCACCTGTCCTTTCCTCAGTGCTTCGGAGTCCACCTACTGAGGTGCAGATTGGCTGTGATGTCAGGCTTTCAGAGAGAGAGGGCGTCCCCGCAGCGGTGGGCAAGAGTGGGCAGTCGGGTGGAGAGGGTGAACATCCGTGCGGTCTTGTCACTGGGCAGCAGGTCTGTGGGATGTGTACACGCCTGGGCCTCCGCGGTGGAATTGCCGTCTAGGGGTTTGTGCTCACTCAGAGACGCTCTTGTGATGTACAGTGTCATCTGCATGGCGGGGGAGTGGGGGCTGGTCACATGTTTGGTCTCAAGGGCGTGTTTATCCATTTAAGTGGGGGCAAATGTGCCCGCCAGGCACAGCGCACGGGCCATGTGTGTCCGTCACGTCTCATGCTAGGGCTGCTGGTGCCAGTGATAAGTGTGGGCACTGGTGCGTGTGAGAGGCATGAAGACCGCAGGGGGGCCGGGACATTGCCTTTTGGGCCATCACCCACCCTGCAGGTTTTGATGTGCTTCCGCCTCCAGACACAGGTGGCCTTCGGGCTCCCCTTGGTCCTGGCCGACAGAGTGGGTGGCTGCGAGGCTCCTCCCAGCCTGTGAGTCAGCGTGGGGCTCACCATGCTTTCCTACAGCTCACGCTAGTGTTCTCCCGACAGTGGATCGAGCGGGTGGTCGGCTGGCTCGGCAAGGTGTTCCTGCAGGACGGCCCCGCCAGGCCTGCATCTCCTGAGGCCGGCAACACCCTGCGCCGCTGGCGCTGCCACGTGCAAAGGTTCTTCTACCGCATCTACGCCAGCCTGCGCATCGAGGAGCTCTTCAGCATCATCCGAGGTTGTCCCGCCCCGGCCTCGGGGTCCTCTCTCCTGTCTGGGGAGCCTTCCCAGGGCCTTTGCTGTGTCTCCTCTGTGTCTGTCAGAGTCTGGGCTCCCTGTGCCTTCGCCGTGTCTCCTCTGTGTCTGTCAGAGTCTGGGCTCCCTGTGCCTTCGCCGTGTCTCCTCTGTGTCTGTCAGAGTCTGGGCTCCCTGTGCCTTCGCCGTGTCTCCTCTGTGTCTGTCAGAGTCTGGGCTCCCTGTGCCTTCGCCGTGTCTCCTCTGTGTCTGCGTTTGGGCTCCCTGTGCCTTCGTTGTTGCTCTTGCAGGGGGGTGCAGGGGCAGGGCTGGGACCCTCCCCACTGCAGGCGTCCCCTATGCCTGGATCAGGGCAGGTGTGGCAGATGCTGGACGGTGCTTCTAGGTGTCCACTGCTATGCTCCCTTGTTCTTGGCTCTTGCTGGGGACTGGCCCCTGGGTGTTGCTCTGTCCACCCTGTGGCATTGTGGTCAAATGCATCAGCACGCTGAAGTGTCCGGGGGGACGTCTGGTGCCTAGCAGGTGGTCTCATCATCTTCCTGGGGCTGGCGAGCGCATGTCCTCTCACACACTGCACACACCCTGCACCAGCCCGCACGTGCACACACATCTGTGTCCGTCCCTGAGGGATGTTCCTCTTCTTGTAGACTTTCCAGACTCCCGGCCGGCCATCGAGGACCTCAAGTACTGCCTGGAGAGGACAGACCAGAGGCAGCAGCTGCTCGTGTCCCTCAAGGCTGCCCTGGAGACTCGGCTCCTGCATCCAGGTGCTGTGTGCTGCCCGGCTGCCCAGCGCTCGGGGCTTAGACACTCACCAGGGTGCCCATGTCCAGGGAGCCTGGGGCCCAGTCTGCTAGCCCTGGACTTGTAGGTCTAAGGAAGGAATGGGTGGAGAAGCAGTTGGCGAGGTCCTTAGGGGATCTTGAGTGCCCATCAGCTTGCTTGTTTCTTCTTTGAAGGGAGTCGGGACTGACTGGTAGGTCTGAGGTGATGAGACTTAATTCTCTCAGAACAGACCACCCTGCAGGGCAGGGCCTGTGAGCAGATAGAGATGGGGATGGGGGGACAAGGGAACAAGGCTGCAGTGGCGACCTGTAGACCACCTGACCGGCATGGCCAGCTGTCTACTCGGGCGTTGGCCCCTGGGAGGCTGTGGTCCTGGGCACTGCATGATTGCTGGCCTCTGCCCTGTCTGTAGGCGTCAACACGTGTGACATCATCACCCTCTACATCTCTGCCATCAAGGCGCTGCGTGTGCTGGACCCTTCCATGGTCATCCTGGAGGTCGCCTGTGAGCCCATCCGCCGCTACCTGAGGTGAGGGCCGCGCCGGCCCGGGAGCCACTGGGACCCCCGGCATCCTGCTGAGCTCCTCGTGGTCCTGGGGGCAGCCAGAGGGTGTGCTCAGCCCTCAGGACGCAAGGTCTCCCCCAGCTGGGGAGTGCACAGGATCAGGCCCAGGGCTCTTTCCTTTCCTCTTGCCGGTGCCGGGCACCTGTCCTTGTCACACGGTGTCACTGTGCCCTCTGTGTGCAGCTGCCAGAGGCCCACCGCAGCCCTTCCTCTGCCTCCTCCTCTCCAGTGCAGAGAGAATCTCTTCCACTTGGCCTCGCCTTGGTGCTGACCAGCCCCCCCGGCTGACCAGGCAAGGAGAGTGGGCTCTGTGCTGTCCCAGCCTTTCCCACAACCAGGAACAGACACTGCCCGGGGTTGTTCGGTGGAGAATGTGCTGGAATGAGGACCTTGACGTGGCCGCCTGGAAATTCCTCAGGGCCGGCAGACACAGCGGACCCCAGAAGCCGAGCAGTAGCAGCCGGTGGGAATCTGGCGCCTGTGCGGACTTGTTTGGTGCTTTGTGGCTGTAACTGGCCTGGCTTCTGGGCCAGTTCTTTTTTTTTTTTTTTCAGAAGATATATCTTTAACTTCTTTTTTTTTTCTTTTGAGGCGGAGTCTCACTCTGTCCCCCAGGCTGGAGTGCAGTGGCCAGATCTCGGCTCACTGCAAACTCCGCCTCCCGGGTTCACGCCATTCTCCTGCCTCAGCCTCCCGAGTAGCTGGGGAACTACAGGGCCGGCCGGACCACTCGCTCCCGGGCTAGTTTTTGTATTTTTTAGTAGAGACGGTAGGTATTCACTGGTATAGCCAGGATGCGATCTCGATCTCCTGACCTCGTGATCCACCCCGCTCTCAGGCCTCCCAAAGTGGCTGGGATTACAGGCTGCAGCCACCGCGCCCGGCCAACTTCTTTTTTTTATTTTCTTTCTTTTTTTTTTTTTTAAGTCTTTAGCGGTACATGGGTGCCACAATGTGCGCAGTGGGTTTGCTTTTCATATGTATACATGTACACGGCTTGGTGTTCTGTACCCAGTAACTCATCAGCACTCTGGCCAGTCGTTTTTTTTTTTTTTTTTGAGACAGAGTCGCCCAGGCGGAGTGCAGCGGCCGATCTCGGCTCACCTGCAAGCTCGCTTCCTGGGTTCACGCCATTCTCTGCCTCCGCCTCTGGAGTAGCTGGGACTACAGGCGCCGCCACGCGCCCGGCTAATTATTTTTTGTTTTTAGTAGAGATGGGGGTTTCACCGTGTTAGCCAGGATGGTCTCGATCTCCTGCCTTCCTGATCTGCCCGCCTCAGCCTCCCAAAGTGCTGGATTACAGGCATGAGCCAGCCCACCTGGCCTTTTTTTTATTTCCGAGACAGGCTCTTGCTGTGTCGGAGTGCGGAGGCAGAATCCTATCTCCCTGCAGCCTCGGACACCTGGGCCTGAGTCTTCCTGGCTCAGTGTCCCTAAGTGCTGGGAGCGCGCTCGCAGCTCCTGCTGTTCCCGAGTAGTGTTGAGTTTATTTGTTTTTAAGGAGTCTGACGGGCCTGTCTTTAATACACAGCCTGTCACACTGAGTGTAGAGGCAGGGTCGGTGGTGCTGGCCTAGATGGGGCCGGGACTGGGGTGAGTGGTGGGAGGTGCACGCAGGGTGTCCACACTGTGGGCCACAGCAGCACTCACGTCGGCAGGACACGGGAGGACACGGTGCGGCAGATTGTGGCCGGGCTGACGGGGGACTCGGACGGGACAGGGGACCTGGCTGTTGAGCTGTCCAAGACCGACCCTGCAAGCCTGGAGACAGGCCAGGACAGTGAGGACGACTCGGGCGAGCCGGAGGACTGGGTCCCGGACCCCGTGGATGCCGATCCAGGTCAGCCCCGCACGGCCCCGTTCACCAGCGGGGTGGGGGCTTCAGCCAGGCCGTCCGCTCTGGACCCATCTCTGTCACAGAGCTTGGCTGTGTCAGGTGTGGCCAGTGTCCCAGAGGCTTGAGGGTGTCGAAGTTCAGGGCAGTGCTCCACCCCCCCGCCGGCCTGGGCAGGCCCGTGATGGGCTGTGTTCCTCCGTGGCTAGTCACTGGCCGTGGGGGATGCCCTGCCTCACACTGCTTGTGAGCTGTGGGGTGTTCCTGCCCTGCCACCGCACCTGGCAGAGGAGTGAACATGTGGGTGGCCCCTGAGCCCCATACTGATTGGGGCCTCAGAGTCCTGTGAGGGTGCCAGCTCCTGCTCAGGGCCCATCTGTGCCTGGCCCTCGTCTGCGAGGGCTCTCAGGGCTGTGGGGCCCAGGCCTGGCCCCTGCCCTGGCACAGATGGTAAGTCTTCAACACATCTTTAGTCTCAGAGGAAAACCCCAGGACCTTTGGCTTGTCCCCTAAGCCTGCATGGGGGTCCCGGGAGGTCCCTGTGAGGTGGGAGGGGCTGGGGATTGAAGCTTTTGCTACAGGACCTGACTCTAGGTCTCCCAGGAGGCGCCGGGCTGCTCCCAGCCTCGAGGGCCTTCAGGAAGAGCCCTGCCAGGCTGTGCCGTCCGGCTGGGCGGGTTGGGAGGGGGGCGGCCCTGTCCTTGCCCCGGTGCCTGTCAGGTGACACCCCTGCCCCCACCGTGCCAGGGAAGTCGAGCTCCAAGAGGCGTTCATCAGACATCATCAGTCTGCTGGTCAGCATCTACGGCAGCAAGGACCTCTTCATCAATGAGTACCGCTCGCTGCTGGCCGACCGCCTGCTGCACCAGTTCAGCTTCAGCCCTGAGCGGTGAGGCCCACGATGTGCCGGTCATCTCCGGGGTACCGGGGCCTTTGCCAAGCCTCTGTCGGGACAGGGCCCGGATCCCGTGCCTGGGGCCTGGTTGGAGCTGTGCTTCCGCCCCCACTCCTGGCTGAAGGTGTGCTAGCCATCGGGGTGCCCACACAGGACCCCTGCTCTACCTGGGGGGCACCCCCGTGCCCTGCCACAGGTGCTCCTTGGGGCTGGGGCTCACCGCGACACCCTGCCCAGACACTCATCTTTCCAGGGAGATCCGCAACGTGGAGCTGCTGAAGCTGCGCTTTGGCGAGGCCCCAATGCACTTCTGCGAGGTCATGTTGAAGGTGGGTCCCAGCCCCGCCCGCTGCCCGGCTGCCCCACAGGTCCTCCGTGACACTGGCTCCTCCTCAGGACATGGCGGACTCCCGCCGCATCAACGCCAACATCCGGGAGGAGGACGAGAAGCGGCCGGCGGAGGAGCAGCCACCGTTCGGGGTCTATGCTGTCATCCTGTCCAGTGAGTTCTGGCCACCCTTCAAGGACGAGAAGCTCGAGGTCCCCGAGGACATCAGGGCAGCCCTGGAGGCTTACTGCAAGAAGTACGAGCAGCTCAAGGTACCTCCACGCCGGGCCGCCCCATGGGCCCTCGGCACCCCCATCCTGCGCTGCGGGGCTCCCAGCAGCCTGGTACCTGTGGCCGCCCCGTTGTCACCCGAGTGTCTCTGGGTTGGTCCCGTCTCGCAGTCACCCCTGCAGGAGAGGGAGTGGGTCTGGCCCACACTCCATCCGCCTTCCTCCCAGCAACCCTGTGCGTCTGTGAGCGAGAGTCCCCGTGGCCCACAGGAGCTTGGGTGGGCTCTGCTGGGCCCAGGTCTCTCGACTGCTTTACGGGGACCCCTGTGGCCACAGCAGGCCCCGCCCTCTGAGCGTTTCCTCCTCTTTCACCATCCGTCCTCTGCCTCTCAGAACCGGGGCTTGGGGTGCCTTGTGTCACTGCAGGGAGGCAGCCGGGGAGCCAGAGTTGCCCTCTGCCCAGGGCAGCGCTCCCAAGCACACCTGACTCCCAGGACTGCAGCCCTGCCCCCTTCTCCAGATCTGTTTCCTCGAGAACTACCTTTGCAGGTTCCAGCGGTACTTGAGGCCCGGGGCTGTGGGTCTGTGGTGGGAATAGGAGGGAAGCAGATGTGGGGAGTGGAGGAGTGAGCCCTGGCCTGGAGGTCACTGGCAGACGGGGACAGTGTGCCCAGGTGATGGTGTTGGCCGTGTTTGGCTCACATCCCTGGCAGCACTGCCGATCCCAGCAGTCCCAGGACAGGCGTCCAGAGCCCAAGGGATGGGACCAGGCTTGGAGGTTCTTTCCCTGAGCTCTTAGGTGAGATGTGTCGGCTGGCGGAGGAAGGGGTTAGGATAGCCATCACAGGCAGGTTCCAGGGCTTTCAGTCTGATGTGTGGGGCCTGTGGGGCCTCCAGTATGCCCAGCAATGCTCAAGAGTCGGGTGGGGCGGGCAGCCCAGCGGGGGAAATGTGAGGAGAGGGTCCTGGGGCACAGCCGGCATCCAGGCTGCAGACCCCAATCCCAGGAGCCCCAGGAGCCCCAGGAGGGGGATGGTCCAGGCTCAGCCAGGGCCAGAGGAGCAGTCTTAGGACAGAGCCGCCAGGAGGCTGGCAGGTGGGGCTGAGTTCAAAGGAGGGTCCGCAGCTTCTCCAGGTCTGCTGTCAAGGAGGCTGGACCTAGATGTGTGTTCTTTTTTTCTTTGGCGAGTAAGAGGGCCTTGCTGTGTTGACAGGCCAAGGGAACTTACTCCTAGGGGAGGGGAGGGCAATATGTCCACTTTAGAAACCAAGGGGGAAGCTTCCTTCCAGAGACAGACAAGGGGAGGGCCAGGCAGAGGCCCCAGGGCGGGAGGCTACAGGGCTCTGGTAGGGCCGGGCTGCTGACCACGGTGGTGAGTGTTTGCTGCCTCCCTCCAGGCCTCAGCTTAGCTCTGGAAGAGTCCAGGTGTCCCTTGCAGCTTGTGGAGGGTCCGTGTGGCTCCTGCCTGCTCCTGGTGGAAAGGAGGGCCCTGGCAATCCCCGCACCTCCAGCTGTGGCCTGTGCTACAGCCTGGCATCTCTGGAGCCTGCGGGCACCATGCCCCTCTGCGTTCTGGTACACATCATCTGTGTGGCTGGGCTCCACGCTCGGCCCCTTTCCCCGCCCCTTCTGGCTGCCTCAGGCTCTCCAGCACCACTTCCAGGCGAGGTCCCACTGGCCTCCCTCCAGGGTCCCGCTTCGGGTCCCAGGCATGGCTCAGCCACTGCCCATTGCTCAGGCCTGAAGTGCTGGGACAGCCACACTCCAGTGTGTCTTAACCTCAGTGGGACACAGGAGTAGCTTAGGAAGGCCCCGGGTCTGTGCTGAGGGGTCCCACCAGCAGAGCTCCTGGCCAAGGGACCTTGCTGGACACCTGGCTGGCCATGCAGCCCACAGCATCTACGCCTGAGCCAGCTGCTTCTGAGCCCTTGCATCTGTCCTGCTGCAGGCTGACCAGTGGCGTTTGTGGAGGTCACGGCCTTGGAGCCAGAGCTAGGACCAAGGCAAGCCGCTGACGACTCCTCTATTTTCTGTCTGTAAAGAGAGGTTTGTTTCCGTTAAGAGCTGCCGGATCCTGGAAGGACTCAGGAGCCCTTGGCCCACAGAGCAGGTGTGTCAGTGCCCCGGTGGCCACAGAGTACCACAAACCAGGGGGCTTAGAAGAAACAATCATCTTACAGAAGTCAGAAGTCTAAAGTCAGGCCAGCAGGGCCCTCCGACGGCTCTAGGGGAAGCTGCTTCCTCCTCTTCCAGCTTCTGGGAGCTCCAGGAGCTCCTGGGCCTGTGGGTGGCTTGCCCTGGTCTCTGCCGTGTCGCCCATGATGATCCCCCGTGTCTCTGTTCCTGTCTCCCTCTTAGAAGGACACTTACTCTATTCCAGGGTGATGTCATTTTAATTATATCTTTAATGACCGTATTTCCACATGAGATCCCATCAGAGGCACTGGGAGTTAGGGGTTCATGTGTCTTTTTTTGAGGGGCACAATTCAGTGCATAACAGTCTGCCCCATGGCGGGTCCCTCCAGCGTGCAAGTGACAGTTAACCCCAGTAGCCCCAAAAGTCTTCACCATTTCAGCATCAACTCCAAGTCCAAAAATCCCATCTAAATATCGTCCACACGAAGTTCCACAGCTCAGCATGTAAATACCGTCTAAACGAGGCACGGGTGAGGCTTGGAGTGCGCTTCATTCCTCTCCAGCTGGGACACTGTGAAATCAGGCAACAAATCATCTGTTTCAGAAGTTCCACCGTAAGACAAGCATAGACATTCCCACCCCAAAAGGGAAAACTGGGAGGAAAAAGGTTGGCAGGTCCCAAGTGAGTTCAAACCCAGCAGCTGAAATTCCAGTTGACTTCCAGGCCTGCAAATCCTCTTTGGCTCCCTGCTCCGTCCTCAGCCTGCAGGGGCAGCCCCGCCTCGTCAGCTTCGGCCTTGGCCTCTGCAGCTCTGCGCTTGGAGCCTGCCTTCCTTTCAGTCCAGCCTGGCAGCACTTCAGATGGTACAAAATTCTCACACACCTTGTTGCCTTATCATGCAGCTCACCAGTGTCCAAGCGCTCAGACAGGTGGGTCCGCAGCCCTTTCCCAGAGGCCCCACCTGTCCCTGTCTGCTGCTGAGATGGTTAGTTGGATGCACAGGTCACATCTCATCTCTAGCAAACCCTGGTCCAACCACACCCTTGGCCACGTCTCAGAGCTGCCTGGATACAGCATTTTTCAGATCCCCAAGGGCTGGTGCCTTTTTGCTTAATGGTTCCTGCCTCACTGATGGTTTCCCTCTTGTATCTGCTGTAAGTAGCAAGGAGAAGCCAGGTGGCACTTTCCACACTGCTTGGAAATCTCAGCTGAATGTCCAGGCTTATCAGCTGTAGGCCCCACCATGCACCCAACAGTAGAGCCCCAGCCAGCCAAGCTTTCTGCTGCCTCCTCTGGTTCCCAGTAGCACACTCATTTCCACCTGAGACCTCACTGGAAGCACCTGTTGGGTCGGCATTGCTGCTGGTATCCAGTCTGTGATGCTGTGTGTATTCTCCAAGACGACAGCAGCTCTCCTCTTCCGGCCGTTTCCAGGCTTGTCTTCACGCCTTTCTACCAACAGTCGCGCAGGCCCTCACCATAGTTCTTCCAGCCTCTCCCCATCAGCCACTTCCAAAGCTGCTGCCACCGTTCTCGGTGTTAGGTTTCCACAGCGCCCTTCCTGGTACTAAAATCTGTTCATTTCTTGTGGTTGCTGTAACAAAGTGTCACAAACTGGGTGGGTTAAAAAAACAGAAATAGATTGTCTTAAGTTCTGGAGGCTGGAAGTCCAAGGCGAAGGTATTGGCAGGGCCCCGTTCCCTCTGAAACCTCTTAGAGGCCTCCGTTGCCCCCCAGTTTCTGGTGTTTGCCACAGCCCGTGGTGTTTCTTGGCTTGTGGCCGCATTGCTCCAGGCGGCCTCTGTCTTCGTGGGCTGCCTCCCCGCCTGCCTGTGTCTTCCCATCTTTCCTTTGCTTAGAAGGGCCCCAGTCATTTGGATTAGGGTGCACCCCACTCCAGTGTGACCTCAGTTGTATCTGCATCAACCCTGTTGTAAATACAGCCACATTTCCAAGCACTGGGGGTTAGGAGGCAGACGTAGCCTTTTTGGGACACACCTTGTGATGCTGGCCCCATTGCCATTTCATGGTGGCTGAGCAGGTAGGGACCCCACCCAGTCCTGTGCTCTCGCTGCTCACCTGCCTACCAGAGTGGGGTGGGGCAGGTGGCTTTGGGAGCCCCTTTCTCACCCGGTACTAGGTGGCAGAGCCCATGGGCCTGAGCCCCCTGCAGCCGAGCTGCCCAGGCTGACCCAAGCCCTCCTTAGGCCATGCGGACCCTCAGTTGGAAGCACACCCTGGGCCTGGTGACCATGGACGTGGAGCTGGCTGACCGCACGCTGTCTGTGGCGGTCACCCCGGTACAGGCGGTGATCTTGCTGTATTTTCAGGACCAAGGTGAGCCCACCAGCCCCTAGCTAGTCTGCCCCAGCCACATGGCCCAGGTGTGGGTGAGGGACTGTTCCCCAGTGACGGTGTGGTTTGGGGCATCTGCGCCAGCAGGCAGCACCCTTCCCTTTCCCACGGGCAAGGCAGGGTGGTCTGGGAGCCCCCCGACCTCTGGGCTGACAGGAGGCAGGGGAGGTGCAGCCTGTGCCCAGTCTGCCCAGTGTCGCGGTCACTCTGCACGCAGCCAGCTGGACCCTGGAGGAACTGAGCAAGGCAGTGAAGATGCCCGTGGCACTGCTACGGCGGCGGATGTCTGTGTGGCTGCAGCAGGGCGTGCTGCGCGAGGAGCCCCCCGGCACCTTCTCTGTCATTGAGGAGGAGCGGCCTCAGGACCGGGACAACATGGTGCTCCTGGACAGTGACGACGAGAGCGACTCCGGCATGGCCTCCCAGGCTGACCAGAAGGAGGAGGAGCTGCTGGTGCGTGTGCGGGCCCGTGGAGGGTGGCGGGGAGGGCCTGCGGGTGCCTGATGGGGGCTGGCCTGTGTCCGCAGCTCTTCTGGACATACATCCAGGCCATGCTGACCAACCTGGAGAGCCTCTCGCTGGATCGTATCTACAATATGCTCCGCATGTTTGTGGTGACCGGGCCTGCGCTGGCCGAGATTGACCTGCAGGAGCTACAGGGCTACCTACAGAAGAAGGTGCGGGACCAGCAGCTCGTCTACTCGGCCGGCGTCTACCGCCTGCCCAAGAACTGCAGCTGATGCACCCGCCCGCCTGCCCGCTAGGTGCTGCCCTGCAGGTGCTCTCATCCTCCCATGCCAGCCCCTGCCCGCCTGTGTCCCAGAATGCACTGCTCAGGGGCACGCCCACTCCCACCCCCACAGTGTGCAGATTAAAGCAAGTCAGGTCATCTTTTTCTATCCTGGTGGCTTTGTGGGGCCCCCCAGATGCCCCTCTATTCTGGGCCTCTCTCAGCCTGGCAGGGCCTGCTCCTCAGCAGCAGGTGAGGGGCCACCCAGGCCTACACATCTGCACTGGGAATCAGCCTCCTGAGAGCTTCCCAGGCCGCCCCCGCCTGGGTGCTCAGGAAGCCACACGTGAAACCCCACTTCACACCTGGGCCATGGCTCAGGCAGCCACGTCCTAGGGCTTGGTGCTACCTGCCAGACCTCCAGCTCCATCCCTGTGCCTCTGGCCTTTGGAAGGAGCCCTGGGGTCACCCTCTGCTCAGCCTGTGCCCACCCCACGTGCCGGGCCAGGAGGTCTTCGGTGAGGTTGGGACGTTGCATGGGTTCGGTTGGAATTGCTTAGACTGGCGAATGACCTCTTGGCCAACACGCCTCATCTCCGGCAGCAAAGCTCTGCTCAAGGCTATGCCCTGGTGGCCAGAGGGACTGGGCACTTGTCCCCTGCTCCACACTTGGGCAGGGTGGCCGCAGAGCTCAGCCTCACAGGTGTGCCTCGGAAAGGCAGGTCGCCCCCATGTCCCCCACATGTGTGGTCATGCGTGTGTAGGCTGCCCAGGGCCTGTCCCAGAGGCTGACACTGGGAGAGGGAGACACCACAAAGCTGAACAAGGGCCCTAGGGTCCAGCTCTGGGCTCTTCTGCTGCTAAAACCTGGGCCTCTCTCCCAGAGGTGCCATTTCCAGGCCAGACATGTTCCACCCCGATGGTGCCGTCCTCCTGGGGGACAAAGGCCCTTTGAACCGGCGCCTCGAGTCCCGCTCCTGCTGCAGCACCTTCCCAGGCTGTGCGCTGCGCCTGGCTTCAGTGCTCCCGCCGCTGTCCCCAGATACCCTTGCTGGTTCCCACATGTCCACTGTCCTGGGCTCCTGCAGCCGCCGCCCAGCACCCTCCCACCTCTCCAGATCTGGCCTGTTTGAGCCGTCCTGCTCCGTGGACATGCCTGCACCCTCCTGACTCTGGAGAACTCTGCCTCGGGGCTTGAAGGAGGAAGTGGTTGGGATTAGGCAGGTGTCAGATGCACAGCCTCTGGCCATCAGGCCTCTGCCCCGCCAAGGAGGGCTGCTTCCGCCCATGTTTTATCTCCCTTCCAGCCCTGGGCCCTGCCACCTGCTCCACTTCACTCCAAGGCTGGCTGTGCTGCTGTCACACAGAGGGACCCCTCTTCTGAATTCTGGTGTGGGGGGTCCCGATTGCTCTGATGCCCACTGTCTCCCCTCAGGCGGTGGCCTTGCCTGGATCCCGCTGACCATGGCCACCACCTGGCCCCAGGCTGGGTGTGCCATTGTCCTAAGCAGGATACAAACCTGTTGGGCTGGCCTGTCCGGTGTCACTGCCAGCCTGGCTGTGGCACACCTTTTGTTCTGTGTCTGTGGATTCCATCGCTGGATGTGTCCTGAAGACAAGGGTAAAAGGTGCATGTCAGGTCACGGTGTCACTCAGCAAGTCAGAGGTCCGAGGACCTCAGCAGGAGGGTGTCTGTCAACAGGCAAGGGGGTCCCTGGTGACTAGGTCCACTGGGGCCAGGCTGTGCCCACCCCACCCCCCTGCGCCCCATGGGTCCTGAGCTGGCGGGAGGCCTGGCCTTGGTTGGCTGTGGGGCAGGTGTTTCCTTCTGCTGCCTGGCGGTTTGCTTGGCAGGTTCAGAGGAGGGGAAGCCGGGAGGGCA